TCCCCCCCCCCCCCCCGCCCCACTCCCTCACAGAATAAAACCTTTTTCCACCAGTTCAGTGTAAAGGAGAACTGGCTGCAGCACAGAGGAACCATGAATGAAACAGAAGAAAGTAAGTATGATGAAAGGGTGGGGGAAAAACTGCAGAATTGTTTCGCAAGGGCTGCCCATAATGTAATAATTTTTTTTTTTGATCTGACATACAGCTTCTGAACAGGACCTTAGGGCCACAAAAGAAGAAAGATTAGACTCTGTAAGGTTACCTTCCTGCCTTCTACTTTACAGGGGTTTGACAGTGACATGATAGCTCAAGGGCTTTTTGCCCCCATTTGTCCGGTTGCTCCAGCAGCCCTGGAGCAGAGCTGTGTGCCTCCCAGGAGTGCTGGCAGCCCATCCACCGGGTGTTACTCCTGCTGTATTTCATGCTCTCGGCCTCTTGACCTAGATCTTGGTTGAGAAAGGTGAATGAATAAGCCCGTTGCATGAAATGGGCCAGGATCTGCTGACACTGGGAACCCACCTTAATTCTTTCTCTCCTCGGAAACGTCTCGGTGTGGAGTGCAAGGTGCCACTTCACTTTAATGTCAACCATTTCAAAATGCAATTTCCCTTCATTGCTACTAGTGCAATAACACAGTGAGGCTGTCACCCTCCCGTAATGCCTGTACAAGGAAGGAGGCAGAGAGGAGTATAATTCCATGTACACAAGCAGAGAACAGGCAGGGGGACCTCCTACCTGGAAGGCTTGCCCTTGGACAATATAGCTCCTTTTTCCCTCTGGGAACAAAACTCCAGAAGTTCACTTGGAGTCAGAGTATTTTTAGTGCTCGTTTGTGTCAGAATAAACACTGAGCTCCTTCAAGGCCAAGTCTTTCCACACAATACATGCTGCTGATAGATATCCTCTTTCTGTACTTGAAATACAGGTTTATTTGAGGTTTATATTATCAAGGCTGCTTCTAAAAATGTTATTTCCGGATGAGGACCCACACACACACTCATTCTTCTTAAAACGTGTGATACAGCTGGTGGGTGAGTGGGAAGGGAAGTGTACTGGCACCAGAGAGGAGACAGACTGTGTGGCTGTGGGGAACAGGAAGGGCAGGACCCGGCAAGGCCATCTCCCACTTGGTTAAACTGCTTTATCTCTCTCTTTAAGAGCATGAACTATGGAAGCTGATGGGCTTGAGGGATTGAAATGGCAGAAGTGGAGTTGGAGAGAGGGCAGATAGATGCTGGGGGTGGTCATCTAAATCACTGCAACGGAGTGCTAGCAAATGATGGTGCTTAGGGCAGATGGATTTCTACAAGCTGCACCATGCCACTGGGCTGGAGGTATTTTATCTCCTAGTGTAAGCATTACCAGAGTGACCTGCAGTCTATGGCTGCTTCCTGCCACTGGCATCCCCTCTTGCATCTCACAGAGGAGCAGCACAGACTCCTGGGAGAGATGACATGGTCCATGCCAATAGGTACAGCAGACAGGACATGGGAAAGGTGTGTGGGGAGCAGGCTTTGGGAGAATGAGTATGGTCGTTGTTCTGAGGACCTGACCTGTAGGTTGGCTTAGTTAAACAAAGGATATGTCTGTAGCCCAGTTATAAATTAACATATTGCTGTCATCTTCCCATCCCAAATGACAGAGAGGAGGAGATTTCAAACGAATTCACTCTAGGCAAGTTGCGTTGCATGCTGTGTATGGAGGCCAAATATTTCTGTCAGATTTATTTTTCTACCTAATAGTTTAGGGTGCAATTTGATGTCTCTATCTTTTCATGAGTTATATCCATTCTGAAGAGAGATTCTGTCATAGGATCTGATTTACTGTCTGTCAGCAGAGACAGGTTCAGAAAAAAGTAAAGTCAAATTACTTTTCTTCACCAAGGTTAAACGCGAAGTTCCTCCTTCCTTCTCATCTTCATTTTTTCTTTACTACAACACAAAAAAAAAAAAAAAAGGTGTTCCTGGATAGAGTTCTTAGCTGCTTCTGGCATGGTCTCAGTTAATATAAGTTCCCTGAAGTCATGGAGATTTGTAGGACAAGCAAAAAGCTATTGCTATGTACAGCTGTCAATAAAAATAATCTTAACGTACAGCATTTTTGGAGAAGAAAAGCATTGTCTATACTGATATGGTAGCAACCAGTCTACAAGAAGTACTGAAGTAGAAGAAAATGAAAACTTTAATTAACAGTGAAGTGAGTATGACACCAAAAGTTGTGGCAGTTCTTATTAGCAGATGTAACTTTTGAAATATTTATGCAAGTCTGCAGCTCTGTTTCTTCCCTTTTAAGTATGGCAGCTGTATTTCAAAGAACTGGCTACAGCAAACTCAGCAAAAGATGTAAACCTGAAAATCTGTCAAGCAGAGGGAGCGTACATCCCTTTTTGTAGCAGAAACAAAGTACTACCTGAGCTGACCACAGCATTATTGCTGGGAATCTCCCTCTTGGAGCCAAACCAACTCATGGGCTTCACTGGAAGTGATGAGCCCATGGAATTTCTCCAAACCAGTCCCTTTTATGTGTGCTGCAATTGATTCAGGGGAAGAGTTGTCAGAACTAATTGCATTGCTGTTTGGGCAGCCTCTACTGGTGCTGAATACCCTGGCAATGCAGGTAGTTTAGATGTCTAGACAGATAAGCCAGCGGAGTGGTTGAAGAGCATTGAACGTGCTGTTCTTGAGAAGCTTTCTGTTCCAGGTGGAAGTGGAGGTCCAAAATAATCTCTGCAGTGGATGTGAAATAACACTGAAAGGATGGTGATTTATATGAACCTAAAAGAAGGGAGAAGAGATGACAACAGCTGAATTTGCAGAGAAGAGAGGCAGTAGAGGTTTTCAGTGACAAATCCCCACCGTAGGAAGTCTTAAATAGGTATTACTAAAAGGCAGCCATGGGGGTCTCAGTTGCCATTTGCTTGGCCCTCTCATTTCCTGGGGAGAGGAGGTGGGAAGGGAGGAAATGGTGACGTTTATTTAGTTTTGTGTCCCTGTATGTCAGTAAGGCAGCCGCCCTTCCCGCAGCTGCAGCAGCCAAAGCATCACCAAGGTCGGTCTGTGAGATTCTCCCCTGCTCTATTCAGGTGTCTCTGCTTACTGCTGAACGTGTCTTTCTTCCTTTGTGCAGTTTTCTGCCGTGTGTATATAACAGAGCACTCCTACGTCAGTGTGAAAGCTCAAGTATCCTCTTCAGCTCAGGAGATACTGAAGATTGTAGCAGAAAAGATCCAGTACCCGGAGGAGGAGTTGGCGCTGGTGACAGTCACATTCTCTGGTGGTAAATAACTTCCCTTCATCTGATTACTTACCTTTTAGTGCATCATGTAGGGCAGGACTGACATTTTCTGGTGCAAAGATACAGCTGTTCTGTGCAGGCCCACAGCTGGATGACCATGGGAACAATGAGGAGCTGCTTCTCAGAGAGTCGTTTCCATAGCAACAACTCATTCTTGGGTACCGTCAGATAAGGCATATCCGGCCTCTCCTCACTGGGAAGGGAATGCAAAGGACTCAGTCTCCAGCAGTATTGCAAGATTTTATTTTTTCCCCCACGTATAAATTTCCTACTTTCACATTTAAATTAATTTGGAAGGCAATGAGGCATGCTTTGCTTCAAAAATGTAAAAGAGAATAACGAATACTATATGCCTGGCTGTTTCCTCATTTATGGCACGGGTAATGAATATTCTCCAGCAGGAAGGAGAGAGACATATATTTGCACAGCTGAGGTACTGAGAGCAATCTAAGCAGTGTTTTTACAAAACTGCTTACAGCAGTCTTGCTTACAACTGTCATTTTTTGCTTATTATTTTAGAGTTTCTCATTGAACAGAAAGGCTTACTGTCTTTTTTAAGGAAGACCAGACTGATCATGGGCTGATACTAGGAACCAGCCAAACCCCCAAGATTTTCTTTGGTGTCTGGCAGGCCTCAAGTTCTTTGGTCAGATTGTTTTGCTCATTGTGGTGTCTTTTGGCTCTGAGAGAATATAAAGGAAGCAGTTTAACTAGGTGCATAAAAATGTGAACCTGAATCTACAAAAAGGAGCTAAGAGGGTAGAATCTCTTGTCCAGATTCTCCCAACATTAGTTGATGTTGGGACAAAGGATGCACCCTTAGAGTTATAGCACTCATTGCTACTCCTTTGTCCGTCCAGTTAAAATATACACAGATGCTGGCTCATTCTGTTTATTTGTTTGATTCAGGAATGGAAGGTCACATTTTTCTCCCCCACACCAAGCTCAATTAAATAACCATTTTATTGCAGGGCCCCAGTGTGGGTGGCAGGGAGATGGTGCCCTGCTCTGGCTGTTGAGAGCCTGGGCACGAAGAGGCCACACCACAGCATTGCACGAAGGGGTCCTGTCCAGTTGGGTTACACCATTTGCTGGAATACTCTTTTTACCCTTGCATGTGCCCAAACTTGCCTCCAGTGCATTTTACAGCACTGCAAAATCATGGTGCTGCTGTTTTTCAGGACTTGTGCTCGCTCATGTTCAAAAGCAAGGCAAGTTTTGCTCAGGTAGTAGTAAATCTAGTGATAACTGCCTGCTTAGCTAAAGAAAACCAGCAATTAATAAACAAATACACTATTATCTTCAGACCACATTGGTTCCCAAGAAAGCCACAGAATAGAAGTGGTTGCCACTTGACTGTTCAGTGAGAAACAATAATTAAAAAGCAGGTACAGTAGGACTGTCATTTTTACATGACCACTGTAACGCCCAGGATGTTATTTAGTCACATTGCCTGAATTAATTGGAGATACCACAACTTCATTATCTTTGTTCTTATGTGTTGTCATTCCTGTGCCATGAGCAATAAGCATCAGCCTGCCATGCTTTCTTTTTTTCTTTTTTTTTTTTTTGTGGCTATTTGCATGATGCAAAACTGTCATCTGCCACCCACTTGGAGGGCAGCAGGATGAACATTGGAGAATGTGTTTTTATTGTACTCCTGAAATGAACAAGCAAGCTCTTTTCATTCAAAATTACCTTGAAAAAACATACTGGTAGTACAACATAAATGTATCTGGTGTCACTGTGAGCATGGGTAAGAGGGGAAAAGTTTGAAATTATGTTCGGCGCTCAGACTCCTCCTGGCCCTACTCCTCCCTCATGGGCAATGAAAGGTCCAAGGTAGTTGTCAACATGCTTATAGTGCTTTTGAGTCTACATTAATACAGTCACTGTAATCAAATTTCATATGCCAGGTCTCCAGAAGATTACTTGGACCCTACAGGAAGAGACAGTTTTCCCAGAGCAGTTTTTCAGCTGTGTTTTGGGTTTTGCTTTTTTTTCACCACACCTTTCTCTTGTTCATCCAAGATTGCCCAGAGCTGAAGTACTCTGAAGTGGAGGGGAAAAAAAAAAAAGTCTTTTCTCTTTGCTACCAGTTTTGTGTATCCTGCTCATTTACTCAGATAAATGAATTATTCTAGGTCTGTAAATACCTCACTATAAAGAACTCTTGAGCTCTGCTCCATGGGGCAGATTTCATGGTGTTGGGATCCTTTCTTTTCCTGTTGAATGGCCATGGCTACTGATGACCTCTCTGGAGACCCAGACATTTTGCTCTTACAAAAGTCACTACATTTACAGTAGATATATTGGGTTGAAATGAAATGCTCTATAATGCATGGGAGGTAAGCCTAGATGATTGACGGGTTTCTTTCTGTTCTGTACTATGTAAAGTCCAGGCTAAAAGCTGATGCTGGAAGTCTGTGCTCTAGTCCAGCATCAGACATCTCATCTTTATTTTGCCTGAGTAGTGTGGAGGTGATGGTCCCCATAGGGTCTGGATTTGATGCTTAGTTACGTTCTAAGAAGTCGATGTGGCTTTACAAATATATTTGTAATGTTTTTCTTATATACGGCTTTTATTCCTTTTCTGTAGCTTTTGTGTTTTGGTTTCTGTTTTCACAGAGAAACATGAACTACAACCAAATGACTTGGCTATCTCAAAATCTTTTGAGTCATCCAGTCGTATGTTTGTCTACCGAAAAGATCTGACTGATTCTTTGGTAAGGATCTGTATTTTGTACCTCCCATTTTTAATTTTTCTGACTCCAGATCAAGAACTTAATATTCCTCTCAGAGGGCTTTTTCAATACAGAATTTATCTTTTGCTTCCTTCGTAAAGCTTACTGAGCTGCTGTTTACCTGAAAATACAGCATTTTGCATTAACAGCAGTTATTTGACTGAACAGTAATGGAATTTGTTCATCAATTTCAAATAGACCAAAGCTTCTGTACAGCTTATATCTTTCAATCTACATCAACCTGGAAAAGCTGGCTTGTGCTTGTACAGGACGGGGGGTGGGGTGGTGGTGGTGTGAGGATTATCCAGGGCCTGTGTGACTCTTGCGGCCCACCCCCGCCCTGTGCCTCTGTAATACTTAATGTGGCTGGTACATAATCATACAAGGTAATAAACAAACTGTGGAATTACTGCATGTAGAAATAGGTGTTGTGTGAGTTCTACCAAAATTACAGGGTATTAGTCTGACCCCAGTGTTGTGACAGATACGTGGTCAGTCTGTGCCTGGTATATATCACTCTGATATGTCCTCTTCCCTTCCTTCTATCTCTCTCTCCATTCTGTTACTGGTGCCAGGGAGGGGAGTGGGTCGAAGGGAAGCAGGTTTCTCCCAGTCCCTCTGTCCTCAGAAACCAGGATTGCAAACTCTCTCCCCCCATGATTTCCCAAAAATCTCAGTGAGGCAGGAACAGTCAGGCACTCACAGAATTTACTTTCAATAGTTTCCTGCTAATTATGCAGATATTTTTAAGGAAAGTGCAGGGACAGTATCGCAACTGACTTATGTGTTGTCAGTGCCACTAGGATCTGTGCATTCATCCTAGGGATGAGAAATGTCTGTTTACATTTTGTTGGATCAGAGTGCCCCAAAGAGCTGACACGCCGTTATCATTGTAGTCTGTCATCCCCATTGTCTCCGGAGTTCTAGCCACCTCTAAAAATGCGAATATTAAGGGAAGGTTTCCAGTGCAGACCGCTGACAGCCATTCTAGTTTCATTAGTTACGTAATAAAAATAGCAAAACTTGCTGTAACTGTCAGAAACGTAGCACCAAAGTAATGGCTTAACAGATAAGAATAATCTTTAATCTTGGCAGATGGTTGCTGTGCCAAGTTTCAGCCTGATGAGGTAAAAAAACCCAAACAAACAAGAGAACTGTAAACGTTTGAAAATCCAAGCTAATAATGGAAATGTCAAATGACCCTTAACAGCAGCAGTACCAGTGCACTCCACAGTAATATGCTAAGTAACTTTTATGAATGAGGACCCTCGGTAGTTTACTGTTGTTTGGTGATTACATTTTGAGTAGATTAATCATAAAATGTATGGCTTTGTTATCTGTAAAGGTAGATTGGTGGGCAAGCTGTGTGTATTTATTATAAATCCAGTGTGTATGCAGAATGATTCATTTAAAATACAAAAATTTCCTGGTGTCTGAATTCAGATTTTGTTTTCTGATGGTTTCAGGGATTTTATTTTCATTATGCTGTCTGCTTGGTCAGTGTTTTGTATTCAAGGTTTAGAGAAAAGAAGAGAAGGCCTAATCCAGTAGCAAATCATTGATCCTATTGACCCATTTCCTGTTTCAGGCTATTTATTAAATAGGCTATAACTCCTTGATTTTGATTAGTGGGGGGAAAAAACCCTCAGTGAGCACTTAGAGAAGATTACTTACTCAGCTCTGTTTGGCACCTTGGTCCAGTAGCTGTTTCATTGCAGAACTTCTGGCTTTTACTGAGGATATTTTTCCCCCCCACCCCACTCTTGGCTATTGATTTAGAACCCATTTGCTGAAAATGAGGAATTGCAGCAAAGGTCTGTAAGAATTTTGGGAATCAACACCTGGGATCTTGCCTTAGAACTAACAAACTTTGACTGGGGCCTCTTCAACGCAATTCATGAGGTAAGAAGCACTGCTTCCACTTCCAGGTATATTACTGTCGTGCAGCATTGTGCCATTGTGATGTGTTTTGGAGCATCAGTATTCCTCTGTTCACCATCATGACAGCACTATTTGGCAGCTCTCAGTAGTGATGGCATTGAATCAGGTCCAAGAGATGTATTGCGATCCTTGATAATGAAAAACGTCATCAAAGGCTTGTAACTTCTCTGGGCTCAGACATCTCATATGTTCCCTGTATTCCTGGTGGGTTTGATTGAGATTTGGCTAAGGCAGTGCAAGAGCATGATTATTGTCTAAAAACTGTGTGAACATGTTATATATGCAAATTGTCCTTTGCACTTGATAACATTCCAGTAAATAGGAGATTCCACAAATAGGTGTGCTTGATATCACTTTAACCACAAAAGAAATTGCAATTTCAGCAATTTAGATGATCACGTTATTGTTCTTGTTAAGCTTCAGTGAGATAAAAAATAGTGGACAGGCTTTATATAATGGGATAATGGCCCACTTCCATGCCCATTGCGTTGTTTCCTGACTCTGTTATGTTCTGGTTTGAGCTGCTGCGTAACATACACAATTAACAGTACAAAATGTCACTTGAAAATACCATCTACTAAAAAGCATGTTGGTATTCTAAGAAAATTATTTAAATTGTTTTTTATATCCCTAATAATGTTGTCAATGTCTTCCAGCAAGAGCTGATATACTTCACGTTCAGCAGACAGGGCAGTGCTGAAAACACTGAGAATCTCAGTCTTCTGCTTCAAAGATGCAACGAGGTCCAGCTTTGGGTTGCCACCGAGATACTCCTCTGCAGCCAGCTCTGCAAACGTGTACAGCTAGTCAAAAAGTTCATCAAGATTGCTGCCCAGTAAGTTAACTGAAGTTGCAACAAAAATCCTTAAATTCACATGCTTTGTGTGGTGAGAAGTAGATGGAAAAGCAAAGAAAGAAAATTAATTTGTCACCCTGTGTTTTTAATAGTGTAGTAAGCATGCCTAGATAAAACAGTCCATAAATAACAACAGCAAACACTGACCAAGACTAGATGTGGTAGAGTATATGCTGCTGAAATCTTCCCCAGCAGCTTAGCTTCTGTATCTGCAGCATCAACTGCAAAATCCCTGATGGGGCAGAGATAGCTCTGTTCTTAGAAGAGATAACCAGAGGACTGTATTGCAAAACTGTTTGAGCAACAACGCAGTTATTCACTAAAGTCCACATGGAAACCAAAAAACTCTGTTATACTCTTGAAAGCCTAACCTCTATAGGGGAAACTGGGTGCAGTAAGCTGTTGCCTCATGTTCTGTCTGGAGGACTCTTATTTATTGGGTTCTTTGTTAATTAGATTTGATGGTCTATTCTTGCACTACTACTAAATAGTGCTGCCATTTATTCTATGCCTTGGAACATAATACAGATACATACTATACAGAGAGAGTTCTTTTCTCTGTAATCACTTGTTTTGGTAACCAAGGGAGTGGAGCAATTTAAATATGTGCAACCGTTCTCGCCTCTCTCTCCACTTCTGCAATATTTGAATATGCGTGTTCATGGAAAATGTGTAATTTGTTCCTTCATCGACTGGGTTGATGTAATTTGCAAGGCACTTACAAAGGACTGTTCTCTGCTGAAGCAATGAAATGAATTCTTCTAGACTAATCTAGTGTAACTCACAAATGTGATTTGATTTAGTTTGCAAGTTGTGTGGTATGTAGTAATACATTCATTTTCTGCCTTATCAGTGGCCAAGTTTGGTTCAAGTGCATCAAAAATGGTTGGTTGTGTGTCCCTTTCTTCCACCACAGCAGCATTAATTTGCATTCCATGAAAAGTTTCATGTCAGTCCCACATGAATAAGAATATATTTGTCACCAGACTGAAATGTTCCTCTATTGGAATTGATTCCACGTCTGTTAAGTGAGAAGTTGAAGTTGTGGAGACGAGGTACAGTTGTCTGTGTAGAGTAGACCGGCTCTCCCAGTCCATTGCAGCAGTACCCATCGTTGTAGCATGTAGCATGAAGTAAAGGATATACAAGTGAGTGAGTGTGTAGTTTTCTCCTTTTTTTTAATCAGAAAAGCAGTTTTCTAAAAGAAGACATTACCATAGCTCACCAGTTCTGGAACAGTTGATGAAAGAGGAATGATTACGGTGGAGGGGTAGTGTGCCAAACACAGGAGCCTCATCATGAGGCACAAGCCAAGCAGCCCTGATACTCTGTTTATGGCTAAGGCGGAGAGGAGCTGCGAGCAGCTCTGGCTGCTCCCTGTTCTCAGCTTCCAGATTCAGCAAGGAATCAGTGTCTCTTTCAGCTTGTCAGACTAAGATCTCACATTCTGTGTTTGTGTGCTTCACTGTTGAGAAGCACCTGAAGAAGATGGAAGGTTTTTACACAGGAGTATCAGTACATAGAGACAGAGGTTTTTGAAACACAGATAGCCGCACTTCTGTTGATGAGCTAGTCTAAAATAGAAAAGAAGTGATTTGGTAGAGAAAATGAATTAGCATGTTGTTAGAAATTAACATCTATGTTCTTGGAGAGTTACAGAAACAGGTCAACATCGGGTTAGAATAAATGGATTTCAACAGCAGCCTTCCTGTTTCCCAAGCAGTGGCTGACTGAAAGATGCACCTTCTCTCTTTGTGAGGAATGGGCCCATCCAGTAGTCTGTTGCTGTGCTGGACAGCTTCTTACTTTGGAATGAATTACCTTTGGGAGCTGCCTGACTTTAATGATAAAAGGAGTCTAAGCCGCAAAGCTAGGATTAACTTAAAGACAGCTGAGGTGAAGTGAGAAATACAGCATCTCAAGATGGTACGCAGGGATGAGGGCAAGCTTTGTAAAGCTTGTAACACCTGCTGGCGAGTTTCCAGTTTAAGGCCTTGGCACATACTTTTCCCTGATGATAAATCCCAGTGAAGGCAGTGGATGCACTCGTACTTAAAATTCTCTTAAAAGAGGATTTTCTCTCACTCACACACATGCACACATATGTTTATAGTGGTCTTGAAGAATCTGGCAAGAGAAAGTGGAATCTTTTTGTTTAAAAAGAACTTGATATTTCAGGATTTCAAATTTCCTCATGGGCTAGAAATAAGCAAGGTCTGATCATATGTAGTAAAATGTCAAAGAATAGAGGTATCAAACAAATTCCATAGGCACCTGTATTGGAACCAGTGCTAAATGCTACTAATTTATAGGGATATGTAAATTGAACATTAATCAGATTTTCAGACAATAAAAATGATGAGGCATTGCAAATGCATTGGAGGATAAAAAAAAAATTATCTGAGGAGTCTGGTGGCATGTGCAAACAACAGTAGGATAAGATTTAATTTAGATAGATGCAAAGTAATTCAGCTAGGGAATGCTAATACTGAGCTGAAAAAATAAATGTGTGATTGTAAAGAACAGTACTGTGACAGAGGTCCTTGGGTGATAATAGATGACAAATTAAAGGCAAGGACGAAGTGTGATGCTGTTCCAAATAAATGATTTGATATTTGTTTTATACTTGCATAGGATAAAGGTGTAAGAACTTAGAGCCAAAACAGTAATTATGTTTCTCCTTCCCTCCCCACTGTCTCACTACACCTCTTTGGTAAGAAGGAAATGTGAGAGAAAAGTTCAAATAAATTACAAAGGATTCAATGAAGGATACTAACAATATGAAAAAGCAGATTGCAGGCCATGACCACAAAGAGAAGTTGAAGGAACCGATGATGTACAATTTACAGAAAAGATGAAAAAGGGGATGAAAATATTTATAATGCAGCAGAACAGAGGTCAAGGAATTATTCTGTATGGAAAAGGACAGCTGAGAGTAACTTGAACATTGAAAAGGGAAAATCACTTTTGACACCAAAGGGGAAAAAAAATAACCTGCCAACAACAGTGTTGATGAGACAGTGGAACGTTTGCTAAAAAACTTCTTAGAGACCCCATCACCCAGACTGCAGGTGGTCATGAGAGGACATTTAATGAGTTCATTATGGGGAAGATGATTGGATGTTAGCATTGAGGGTTGAAATGTGACTCAGTAACCTAGGATACCTGTGCATTTATCTCTGATTCTGAGTAGAAAAAATCAGAATACAGCATTCATATTTTTATTTCACAGCTGTAAAGCCCAAAGAAATCTGAATTCATTCTTTGCTATTGTTATGGGTCTCAACACTGCATCTGTCAGCCGGCTGTCTCAGACCTGGGAGGTAAGACACATCTTTGTATCTTTTTAAACCCTGTCAAAACCATTTCTCACAAAAGTTGTACACTAGTGAATTACCTTTTCTTTCTAATTATTGGGTTTTCATGCTGAAATCAAACAGAAAATGAGTGTTGGTAGAGAAGATTCTCTGTGACCTGAAATGTTAGATAAACAGCTATTCAAATAAAACTAAATGTGTCCTTACGGAGTTTTGAAATAAGAACAAAACAAGGAGATTTTACCCTCTTTGGAAAAAAAAAATAAAATAAAAGGACAGGCAAATTTTTCTAGTATTTTAAGTAGGTGTCAGAACAGAAAGTCTTGATGGCCCCAAACAAGTAATACCTTGTTATGGAATAATTTCATTTTAAAAAATACAAAGTAGAAATAAACCCTCTTCAGTTCTCCTTTATCAGCTCTTTTGCAGCTGCTCATCTTGAACAATAAAGTTACGAAATGGGCCATAAATAAGAAGCATACTGGAGAACAGCAGTTATTTGCTAAAGTAGCTACTGGTTGCTAGACAGAGTATGGGATATTTAGAGGAGGGCCCCACTGGAATTTGTGTTTATATTGTGGATTTTTTTTTTCCAAGTAAATGATTGACTGGTAATATCTGCAAGCTTACTATATCTGCTGATGAACCAAAAATTGGGGAAGGAGTGATTTAGTGTGGTGGGGTGAAGCTTCATCCTTTCCCCTTGCCCCCAGCACTACAAGTGGGCAGTACTCAAATAATACCAATCCTTAATACCAAGTGACAGAGAACAGCTGTGATCTCCTGCCTTGGAGACACTCTTGAGCACCAACAGCTGTAACCAAGTGGGCATCAGAGACTTACAAACCTGTCTGAGGCTGTCCAGAGCAAAGTCTTCCACCCTTAGCTGAAGTCATGCGTATGGAAACATCACTGCCTATGTCAGAGGCTTCAGCATGGAGAGAGACAAGGGTAGTGACTACTTCTGCAGGGAGGAGTTTGCAGGGGCTCAGGTGGACAAGGAGGAGCTAATTTGAATAACAGTAAAGCAAAAATTTTAGAGAAGAATACATACCAGAGGACAGCCCCTTGTCTCTGCTATTTCTAAAACGCCTCTCTAGGGAACGTTTGCCCTTGCTTGCTCTTACATGTTGCCTTCATCCCGTTTCTCTGGGCTTGGGTAGGACAGTGGAAAGGACTAAGTACTCTATCAAAGGCACCTGGTGGCAGTGGTGTACATCTCTCCTGCATGGAACGGTGTGTGGTGAGAGAACGCTGGATATTGTGGACTGCTCTCAGGAAGAGCAGAGTATATTGCTTTTCAGAAGAAGGAGTGCACCTGTATATGAATTGTTGTAAAAATATGTCACATTTCTGTGTCTAAAATATGTATGAAGTCACGTGCGTATGTTTTTTTATTTGTACAACCTTACTGTACTGGAAATTTCAAAACTAGGTGGTTATTTGCATTAGTAATGTGACTTCTAGAAAGTAGAGCAATGTTTATAAATTAATTATAATTACTTACACATGTAAATGAAGCCACCTAAATTTAAGCAACCATTTAGACACTAAATTATATTGGCTCTGCACTTGAATTCTTAAACAAGTAGTATGCTTCCAAGCATACTCTTCTACTTTTTTTTTTCCTACAGTAGGCAGTGTTTTAATGAGCCTAACTTCCCCTGATTGAAGATATTAAAAATGTGCAATTGCAATTCCACATTCAGTTATTTTAGCATTTTAATCATACCGCACATCCACTTAATCTTAATTTTTCTAAATCTCTTTTCTCTTGGTAGTGTCATTGTGGCTGTCAGGGTCTAAAGGACAAATCCAAGACAGTATTTGTACTAAGATGGGATATCTTTTACTAGTCTAAGTAGTATGTTTGGAAAAACAGACAGGCTTTAAGGTCCTCATGCCATTCTTCCAAGTCTGAAATACCAGCAGCAGAATTCAAACTGAAGAAAGATTGCTTTGAGTATAATGAGGTGAATCCATTCAGACATCTTTGAGAGAAATGCAGACATTCTGTGAAAAGGAAGCAGATGCTTGTGGAGCAGAGCGGGTGTTGTCATATGGGGCAAGAAGGTGGTTTGTGCCTGGGCTTCCTTGGAAGGTGTTTTGTGTACCTCCTGGTGGGATTGGGATGAGATACCAGAGGTGGAGCAATGTTTTTTTTAAGGAAAGTGGCACCACTTTCTTTTTTTTCTCTGGCACCAGCATGTGCTAGTAGTAATAGTGGTCATTCCTGGGCATTGTGTATTGACCAGTGTGGAGTGTTATGCCTGTTTATTTCTAGAATCCATGTTTTAGGGGAAGATTGATTACAGCAAATGATTTAACCTGGATGTGAATCCAGAGTGTGAATTCTCAACCTGTGTTACTTCTTCTAATTTGATATGGATGTTAAGGTAAATGTAGCAGACACAGAAGCTGGGGAAGAAAATAAAAACAGCTGTTACTGTAAAAGAAAGATGCAGGTCCCCGAGGCGAGGCTGCAGGGTCTGGTGCCTCACTGGCATCGCACAGAACATGGTCTGTAATTAGGGCTCTTGGAGCTGAGGAGTGGAGGTAAACTGCCTGAGAAAGTAGCCTGTTGGTGCTTACAGCAGGCACGTCACACATGGCAGTCTCATGGAAAAATAATGCCTCAGCATTTTCTGCACGTTTTGGGTTTTTTTAAATCAACTTTACTTTTTTCTCTGTTTTTCCGCTTCAGAAAATTCCTGGGAAGTTCAAGAAACTTTTTACTGAACTCGAAAGTTTGACGGTAAGTACAGTGTCAACAGCAGAATGTCATTGCTTGTCTTTACCTGCCTTCCTTCCTCCTGATTTATCTGGAGGCTGCCTGTCATTGTCTGGAGCTGGAACTTGTCATGTCAGATCCCTGATTTGCCGAAGGCAGATCCCCAGAGCTCAGAGGTGGTCTCCAGACAGGAAAAGAGAAAAGGCTGTTTTCCTGACAGCTGGAGGAAGGGCAGAGAGAGGCGAATGTAGTGGTGGTTCCCCAGCATCAATTTGGAAGCTGTTCTTTTGCCATGGTGGTGAATCAGCCTTTATCCAAAGCAGTGTGCTGTGATCAAGAGAAAAGAAGGAAAGCTGAAGTTTAAAAAAAAAAAAAAAAGATTCAAAATCCTAGGCTAAGGGTCTCTGTCACCATTATCAAAGCTGGATAAACGAGTGTTTCCTCTGGCTGTCATGAAAGTGGGTGCGTGGTGAGATCACTGCCTGGTGCAGGGAACATGAGATCCAGCCTTTAATGGCTGTCACGCTTCTGTACTTAGAGTCCTTTATAAAATAATGTGTTCGCAGGATTGTGTGTGAGCTGGTGTACAGAAACGTTCATTTATATGGGAAAAGGGGATGGCTTTTTGAATTACTTACACAACATCACAGAAACATTCTTATTCTTTGAAATTTCCAATATGCTCCATTGATCTGAGAGTAGTTATTGTTGGATATTTTTATTGTTGTTCATTTGGGTTTTTTTAAGAAGAAATTAATCAGCAATAGATTCTGGGATACATTTTGTGCTAGATAGTAAGCTGAATAGATTTTGCTAATAGGAATTTGTGGGGAAATTACAGAGCACTCCAAGTGAATCTATTATGCAGCTTACTCCCATTTTAGCCCTGCTTCATCTACAGGAACGTAATTGCTTTTGTTCCTTTCACTGTTTACGTTTCCTGTTCAGTTTAGTAAGTCACCTAGCTTAGAAAACCTTTATCTACCTCGTTTCCCGAAGAAACCTTTTGTATCTAAATCATGTTCAGATCATAAGCCTGTAATGGATTTAAGATTGCTCTTTTTATAGCCTATTGATTTTTCTCTCTATTACCCAAATGATTTTGCAGGACCCTTCTCTGAATCACAAAGCTTACAGGGATGCATTCAAGAAAATGAAATCTCCAAAAATCCCCTTCATGCCCTTACTTCTGAAAGGTAATGTTAAAGCTTGGCTGCTCTTCTTCGTTGTGGTTAATTAAAAAAATGTAAGGTGATGTTTCCTTCAGGTGGCCTCCTGTGCCAGATGTAGTGGTACCTACAAGATAGCACTTCCTCTGGATAATAAGCAGTTTTTAAGACAGGGGGAAGATGGCAATTTTCACACAGGTTTTTAAACTTATGTGCCTTCCTGTCAGGTGTGGGTAGAGCAGTGTGCCATTGGTTTGGCCATGTCCTCAGTGGAGAAGCAAGACCTTGCGAGCCCCTGAGCAGGGGGCTGGTCCCAGCTGCTGGTCTGAGGTGCTCGCCTGGCCTCACCGGGCTGGAACTGCCTGGTTTCACACTAAAGTCAGAACCTGCCCTGTCTGTCTGTCCTGAGAGGAGGGGATTTTCAAGTCTCTTATAGGTCTGAAAGAGATACAAGAATATCTTACTATTTAAAAAAAAGATAAAAACATATTAAATAATAAAATAAGACTACTTGCTTGACACAGTGAGCTGGGCAGCTAATTAAGTGTCAAGTATTTCAAATATTCCCTTGTCTTGGAGTCATAAATTATTAATTGCCTTGTCTTTGAACATGGCAAATTCATTTGATTATTCCTGTATTCCAAAAGCATTCTCTTTAGGCTGTTTATCCCAACCTGCTGCCACTGTGAGTTTAAAATGTTTGAACACAGTTCTCCAGATCAGTTGGTGACAGTTTGGGAGCCATCAGGCACTTCCCCTCTTTGCACACATCAAAGGAGTTTGCATTAATTCAGATGGATACAATTATCAAGGCTTCAAAATCAATGTTTTTTCAATGTTCTCAAGTGTGTGTTGCCCACAAGCAAAGGCAGCAAACATAAACATAAAAAAGTAACTTGTAGCAAGGATGTTTGTGCACCACTACAGTGTGGTGTATAAGGACACGCACGTAAGCAGCATTCATGTCTCTAAAGTGTGTTGGAGATAGCAAGGAGACTGCGAAATAATATAGCAATCTTCTTCAGTACAGTGATCCGTAAGGAGATGGTGCCAAGGTTGGTAATTGCACAGTACATAGGACTTTATTCCATGTCCAGCATGTTTGTATAAATGGTATTTACAAGACCAGTAAAATAAGCATTAATAGCATAGAAGTAATTAGTAAATTAACAAATTCCTTTATTTAAACACAAGAAGAACAAAAGCAATTTCAAGGAAAAAAATTAAAATCATTAATAACCTTTAATTATGAAAAATAACTTCAGAGTGTCCTTATAAAGTTAACTAAATTTAAATGCAGGGCTCTCTTATAGCACACAGCTTTTGAAAATCAGGCAGATATTTCAAATATGTAATAAAATACTGTGATGTACCCTTACAACATAGCTCAGATGCAATTTTCTGCTCCACTGAACTTATCTAGACTTAGTTGTTGGCTGCAAAGAAAATTTCTGTTCCTTCCACCTCAAAGACATACACATTGCCGTCATTGACTTAAAAAAATGTGTAGAAATTTCTGCTTCCAGTGTAAGTTTTTTTCATTGGAGCAACGATGGGTTTTTAACTGCATTGATATTGAGACAAGGAATGCCTGATCCTGAAGCTGTGTCCCTTCCCTGTCCCTGGGTGCCCCAAAGCAGCCCAGCAGAGGAGGGGTAGAGGGTCCTGCTCCCTCCTTTCCCTCTGATTTTTAGGAAGTTGCCCAGGTCCTGGACATATCCCCAGTGTATCCCATACTTGCCCCACTTCCTCAGGGGTGCCAGCTGGCTCCTGTGAAGCCAGGCTGGCACCCTGCCTGCCCAGTCTGGCATCCTGCCTGCCCCAGGCAGATCCCAGCCGCCTTGGGGACACAGGAGCTCCGTCACCCCTCTGCCCAGTGAGTCCTAGCCCCGGGTTTCCACCAGCACGTGAAGCTGTTAATATTTCCCTTCTAAGCAATTACAAAATGCCCCTTGGTCACAGAGCGAGTCTTTGAAACAAAAGGAAATAGATCAGATTGGCTCTCTGGGGAAGGATGAAGAGGGGTTGGGTGTGACAAAGCAGTCCCCAGGGTCAGCTGTAGGTTCCTGGTCCTAAAATCCCCCAAAATTTGGGGACCAAGGGGATATCAGAGGGAGTCCTAGAGATGAGAAATGCATGCACGGTTAGGATGCTGGGTTGGAGGCTGGCACCACTGCTGAGAGGGGAGCCGTGTCCTGTTTGCTGTGTGCCATGTGCCTGCTGGCAGTCACAGCTGTGACTTTTAAGTGATGGAGTGCCATCTCATTACAGTAGTGCCGTCTCCTCCTGGTGCTCCTGGGTACCCGCACATCCAGGAGAGAGCTGATAGGGGTGTGGCGGTGGTACTCTGGCTAGTAACCTGGAGGATGCACTATCGGAGGCAGAGCTTTGGTCCCCACAGAGAATCTATGTCCTTGGTACTTAATGACCAAGATAGGTCTTGCTTTGTGTCCTAATATGCATTAGAAAAAAGGAGAAAATGACTGTTTTAACTGTAATCTTAATTTGGCAGCATTTGTTTTGCCTGATATTCCCCTCTCTCCAGTTCGTTACACTGTGTTCAGTTCCCTTCCTGGAGCCAAATATAGACCTTCTTCCTTTTCCGCTCGCTGACCTTTTTGTTGCCTTTGCAAACTCTTCTCCAACACCACCGTGTAACAATGTTTTTTCCCTAGCCATAATGCTTATTTCAAGGCTTTGAACTTCAGTTTGGTGACTTGTGTTTAGTCTCTCCGGCTGGCCACTGTTGTAGCCTGCGTCTCTGAAGGGGACTTTGGGGTTGTTGTGTCCCACAGAGAGACCAAGGGGTGTCAGAGCCAAGTCCAGTGTCTGGTAGCTCTAGCCCCATGGAGCTCTGGGCTCCAGGACCAGCCAGCCCCAGCCTGGGCACAGCCGTGGGCAGCATTGCTGGCTTGATGCCACAGGGTCTGGGAGAACAGGCATGCCAGGCAGGGCCATCCCTCTGGATGCCCCTGCCTGCTCCCAGCCATCCTCTGTGTGATATGCACCCCAGAAGTAACACAGACCAGGTTTCATAAGAAATCTGTGCTCCCACTTGAAAATCCTCTTCTTATGATGTGTACTTAGTGTTGCTATCCGATAATTTCCCCATGTCGTTACACCAGGCTTTTGTTCCCCTGTGGTAAGGTATTGTGGGCAGTCCTTAACGGGATGATTTATCTTCTTTATTTTTTTTTAATTATTCTTTTTGTTGCTGTTTAGTAATTTTATTTCTTTATATTAAACAACAAATGAAGCCATGAAAAATAATTATTTTTCCTTTATTTCTTTTCAGATGTAACATTCATCCATGAAGGAAATAAAACTTTTCTGGATAACCTTGTTAATTTTGAAAAGCTGGTAAGTTGATTTTGTCTTTCCTGTTTTTCAGAAGTACACATTCTCTTCTTCCCTTTCCCCTCCTTATCTTGTAAGACTGAAGGTTTTTCTTCGGGCTGAATTGGGAAGAAGTAGACAGGGGTGAAAAAGAGCAAGCAGCATAAACCAGCCAACAGTTTATCTCCCCTGCCCCTGCTCCTCTTTCTTCTCTCTCCTTTCCACTCCCCGCCCCCCACCCCCCCAGTTCTCTGTCAAATGGCTAAGCCCATGATGGCCAGAATCGATGGGGCGCAGTCCACTCAGTTTTTTCTCCTTTGCACCACCCCGTGGACTGTTTCTGCTCACTGACATTTTGCTTCACCTTCCTCTGAATTACATTTCCTTTTTTTCACCGAAGAAAAGGTTTCTCTAGTTTAACACATGCCACTGGTATGCTAATTCCAGGGATCTTAAATGAAAGTAAAATTTTTGATCTAGGTTAGATTATGAAGAAAATAATGCCTGAAATATTAATTAAACTGACACTAAATACCACTATACTAACTTTTATGTAGAAGGGCGCTTACTGACTTCATATCTTTGGCCACATCTACCCCAGACATCCTGTGACATCTACTCTGGCATGATGTTACTGACAGAGATTTGGCTTCTCTCATTTGCATATTTCATTTCTTTGTCGATAACATTTTTGTAGCACTGAAAGCCACAGTTTACATATCTGAACAGTGGTGGAGTGGAGAAACTTTGACTTTATGGGTTTTTTTTTGTGGTTGACCTGGAGTATTTGATCAGGAAACCAACATGTTCTTCCCAATTGCTCTAGCTCAGCCATGGGACTGTTAGTCCAGATGGCTGTGCCTGGTAAATTGTTCCCAACTATTTTTTCCATCTGTTTACACTTGTTTGAGAATGAACGTGCAAACATGGAGTTATTCATGAACCAGATGTTGAACTTACTTTCACATCCTATCATAATGCATGTTGTCTTTCAACTTGCAAGCAGACATATAGACTTTGACTTTTGAACCTGAGCTCTGCTTTTTGTGTTTTCTATTTGATTCCTGTACCTTTTCTTGTGGCAGAGTTTACAAGAACACTGATTTGCATTTAGTGAAAGGTTTTCTTGTCCCAAGTCCATTAACTGTTTGACCTTTAGGTGTTTGCATAAAACTCATTAGCATGTTCTTCATCGTTGCCTCTTGGAAGTGCATCCAATTAACATGTAAATTAAACTAGCCCTTGATGCACAAAAATTGTTAGTAAAATCTCCCCACTGGCCCATATATTTATTTAGTGAATATGTAGGATCTGATTCTTGTTCCAGGCTTAGCCAGACCCTGTTAGTTAGTTTGTTTGTTGTTTAATCCTGTATATGTTTGGTGTGTGCTGGGCTTGGTAAGATTTCCTATCCTTGTTGTCACCATTGTGTCTCCAGAGGTAGTGGGAGCTTTGCTAATTGACTTCAGTGAGCCAGGATTTCACCTTTTCCATGCAAATGGATAATGGGCATTTTAAATGGGAAGGGAGAGTCTGAGGCAATGGTGGTGGGGTGAGGGTCGTTCAGACTGACACTTCCTCCAAATTAGTAGTCAGATCACACCTCTCCTGGAGCCCTGTGTACATATGAATGCAAGCAACAGTGCAAGCTTAGGAAGTGGGAGCTTAGGAGAGATTTAAATATGAGTGTCGGGGAAAACTCAGGCAGTACATGCAGCTTCATTTGGATGCTAAGGTATTTAGTCTATGAACATGAACTTACTAACAAGATGCATCGCATGTCATCACGTGTGTATCAGTTTATGCTTCTTTTCTAATTATAAGGACTTTGTACCAAGGAAGAACATCTTCCTTGGCGTTTTATACTCTGCTGAGCACTTTCTGGCCTCTGCTGAGATAAGTTAGGAATGATGTTGACTACTGTGTGGTTTGGAACAAGCCAGTGAAGCTCACCTGGAAATTTGCTGTTGCAGAAAAAGAATTATTCTACCATAGCAGATTACTGCTTTGGGGAAGGAACTTACTGTCATAAATGCATAGAATTGCTACTTAGGAATTTCAAAGCAAAGCCAGTTTCTCAAGTCTTCAATTGGATCAGTATTTTTAAGCATTTAATTTCTGCATTAAACAGCTGACCTGAAGGAGGACTCATCAATCTGAACCATTCTTTTTTCCAGCTTTGTCCGTTGGTTTAATAAAAGATATTATCTCTCCCTACAATTGCTGCTTCCTTTATATTCTTAGACCATCGTGACCACAACAATCCTACCGTGGCTGAAATTGATTTGACATGACACAATTACAGTGAAGACAAAGCCAATTCAAAATATAAGGAAGCGAATTTGCAAAGAGAAAAAATGAAATTATCTTTGTCTCAGGGATGTTGCCCATTTTTAGTAAAAGTTCAAGGGATTGCAATGATTTATTTAACTCCATGTTTGGTAAACCTGTAGTTTGGTAAAGTCTGGTCTAGAATAGATCAATATTTAGTACCATATCTACTTCCTCAGCTGAATCTGAAGGAATAAATGAAAATACAGTCTTACACTGTTGCATCTCAAGGTATTTCCATGGTATTTACCAATCTGCCTCACTGAAATGTTCAGTGGCTTCTTCAGGTTTGTTTTTTTTTTTCTCCAGTCAGCCATCACCCATATCCTAGCAATGACATGTCTTAGCCACACTCCAGCAAACACTAATACAGGTCAATGGCCATTACCATTTTAGGTAACACCAAGTTACCTAGTGCCTTCAGCTGTAAGGACTGTGTACACTCACCTGAAGTTTCTCAACCCCACCTCCCATCAGATAACCTGTGCAACTCCAAGCCGGAGTGTTTGCTACCCTCAATTAAAGGAGTGTGAACAATTTAAGGTAGCTGGGAGGCTCAAAGGCCACAAGAAATGAGTGTTACTCTATGCAAGCACCTGCGTAAACAGTCAGGAAGTCAGGAAACATCGTTTGCTTTGCAGATGAATTGGCTAGCTTTCTGTATTACAGTTGGATGCCAGAGAATTGCAAATGGTAGAGAAAGGCCTAATTTGGCTACTAAAGAAAGGAGATTTGCGATTCTGCTTAAAGAGGGTGTTACATAAAGAGGGTCTTTCATCACCAGGGCATCACCTGCAGAAGCCAGTCTGGAGATGGACCTCCTACGCAAAGGAAAAGCAGCAAAGAATACCACTGTGTGTGATCATGGGGTCTAACTTCTCAAAACCAGATTCAAAGGGTATCAGCCAAAAAACATCACAGCTGCAGCACTGGTGGAAGTTGTAGCTCTCCCAGTACTCACACTATGGACTATGAAATCTAGGATAGCTCATTAGAACTTCGTTATAATCAGTGCAAGGACATCAGCAAAAGAGATTACATGATTTCATGGCAAATGGAGCACGTAGGGTATCAAGCAAAATTATTTTGATTCTGATGAAAAGAACATGTAGTTTCCATCAGGTGTGCTGTTCTTCTTGTGATAAGCTTTTCTGTGGAGGAGCCTTGTAAGCCACTCCTGGTGTTGAGACATGAGCTGTTCTACGTCATTCTGGTCTTAAAGGTACTTTGCTCAAGACAGTTAATCCTTCCCATCTCTGAGTATTTAAGATGGAGATGTGACAAGAATATCATCTATTTGCATGACCTTCTGTATCATTGCTGCTAACTGCAGTTTGCTTAAATTAGTAGATTTAGTGAAGAGTTGCCAAATTCGGTATGTTTTCACCTTCATACCACAGAAGCAGTCAAATAAAGGAAAAAGTAATGCTTCAACACCTTTATGGGTGATGTCTAGTGAAAATGAGCACACACCACTGTCTTATAGTGAACAATTCTAATTTTCATAAGTTGAAGACCTGAGCCTGAATGAGAAACCAAACTTAACCTTTAATTTCCTCTGCTTAATCTAAGTGAATATCCAATATCCTTGTTAGCACCAGCTTTTCTTAAAATAGTGTAACTGCAGTATAGTCTTATTTGGTACGTGCTTGTGGGGATGTCGGGCTGCTTGTTCTGCAGCATTTAGGCTGTGAGATGTTATTTTTGTGTTAGTTATCTTAGTGCAGAAAACTGCCTTGCTGATACTGTTGCCTGATTGTGCTAAGCATTACACATATAAGTTAAGGTATAGTCTGTGCCACAGAGGGGCTTACAGTCTAATGAGATAGCAAGTGGAGACAGAAGGAGAGCTTGCAGGCTCTCGAATGCCCTGACTAATGCACTAAAAGCTAGAGGTTGGATCCTGAAGCACTGACACAGTCCACAGTCCAGGAAGGACTTCTGGGTCCAGGAAGACCCAGACTTCGCTGCTGTAGGTTTTCAGTTTAATAAAAGTCACAGGATCAAAAATAAGCAGTTGTTTGGCTCTTTTTCATTGCCACTTTCCATGGGCTCTTAGGGAGTTGTTCTCATTTAATCTGTGTGATATCAATAACAACGTTCTAGACTAACCCTGTTTCATCATATATTATCACTAAGATAAAGAGCAAAGTCTTTCTCCTGCTCTCTTCCATTTTCTACCTTACTACAGTTGCTTTTTGTTGTACAGTGTAGGGCAAGGGGATTTTTTTCAGGATTTTCTTATGACACAATCCATCTCAGGTTTTTGCACTGATGTTTTATATCTTATCTTTGCAGCACATGATTGCAGATACTGTTCGGTCATTGAGACATTGCAGAAATAACCAGTTTGGTGAGTAGCCAAAATTTGCTTCTTATTTTGCCTTTGCACAACTTTAAGGGTTTGGGTTTTTTGCTTTATTTTCACTTGCTCAGGTTTACTACAGCAGCAAAATGTGGTTGTCAATTATTTAACTAATTGGCAAGATGGGTGTCATTGTTGGAAGGTCAACATAGCAGGAACCACAGCTGGATGAAACTTTACAATATGTTTGTAGAAACAGCTTCAAATTTATGTATAAATTGTTTTGCTGAGAATATTGTCACCTCTTCAAAATACTGTGTAAGACAGGTGCCAGCTTCACTTAATAATGGAAGTTTCTGTGTACGCTGCTGTTTCTCACTTTCCCAGCTATAACCGAGTTACCTCAGCCTCCTGCTAGTCTTACGTGTTTTGGTAATGGATTCCCAGCTGCCTTGGCTTCCGGTAGCTAAAAGATGGTATTCAACATTACGGCTTTTCACTTGGCTTTTCACCGAGAGCAACTGTTTTCTTACTGCGATCCTGAGGGTTTCATGAAAATAGTTGACTGGGTAGCAAAGAAGGGGTTGTGTTAGGACCTTTGCTAGGGAAAGCCTGCAAATAGAGCTCTGCCTGGTTTAGACACTGGAGATGATGGGAATGGTTACAAATGCCTCAGCTGCACAAAAGGCCCATTTTTTTGTGTGTTTCCACCTTATTAGCCACCAGAGAATCCAACCCTCCTGTGGGACAATACCAGAAGACCCCAGCTTGCTCTGTTCTGCTGCTCACAGAGGAGAAACCTTGTTTTTCCCATTCTCAGTATTTCTCATTCTCTGCAGAGAGGTTAAACACAGGAAGGGGACAAACACAACACTACTTTAAGGAGCAGATAGAGTTTTTAAGCCAAACACACTGAACATGTCATTTATTGAGGCCACTAAAACCTCTTTTCCAAAGAGAAGTTCAGAATTGTGCTGCAGCCTTGGGGAAAAAGAATTTGAATAATTTCTTGTTGCAAGCTGTAGTTTCAGCATCTGTCAGCATGGACTCCAGCAAAAATAATAATAATAATTATAATAATAATTTTGTGTGTAAATACATGTACCTTGGAGAATGACAGGTACTGTTGATGAATACTTGTTTTATAAAATTACCTTGTGTATGTACAGTTTTTTTGGGTTTTTTTGTTGGTTTTTTTTTTAAAAAAACAAAAGCTTCTCTGCTTTATGGTTCTCTTATTTTGATATATATATATATAAGAGAGGGAGGACATGCTGTTCGTTTTTATTCTGTTGAACCAGATACTGAAGGAAATATTGATTAAGCTAAACCATGTCTCTGTAGGTTGGATTGTCTCTTGTTTGGCATTAAACATGGTAGCATTGGTTCCTTTTAATGATGTGGTGGGGTTTTTTGCAGCTTCTTTGCAAGTCTTTCATCATTTTTGCCTTTTTTTTTTCCTCCAAGTGGTTATGTAAGTGTTGTAACATAAATCCAAGGTTAATACCTGAGGTTTATCATATAATCTGGTAGTTAGAAGTACGTTTTATTTTATTTTACTACAGACTTGATTTATTGTGAAACTGGCATTTAAAAAGCAGCTTATACAGATATCCCTGTAGGCACTTCTTTTTTTCTTATATTCGTTTAGGCATGAAATGAATTCACTGAATATTTATTGAGACATTATGGACAGTTTCCTTTTCTAGTGGGCTTATTTTGCTCTCAGGAATGTGAATCTACTGCATCACGTCCCAGATTGGCCTAAGAGCAGCAGGCGTCTTTGTAGGAAAGAATTCCAACAAAACTAAGCAAGGAGTATTATTATTGTTTATGAATTGTATCATGTCTATTAAACTTGCAGGCCAAAATCTTTATGGATTAGAAACTGGTTAGGTTGCAAGCAAGACTGAAATGCCTTTTTAATGGAAATAATACTCTTATATCTTAAATCCTGAAAATAAATAATAAGGGTTCCAAAACTGGGTAAAGAAGCCTGAAAAAATAACATAGTTCAAGCTTTTGTCATTTCAGGTGTTAATGAGAAATACAAATGCTTTTCAGTACATTCAGCACAGCTGCTGGGATCCTATTCCCTCAGAACAGAAAGGTCATCTTTGCATCCCAGCACAAAATTTATCATGCTGTCCTGTTCTCGCACACATTTCTGAAGTCAGAGCTGCTCAGAAATAGCTCCTAAAAATAGCTGCCCAGGAGCCCCCTTAGGCACATGCAGCACTGGCGGCGTTGTTGTCTCGTGTTACCTACATCAAACAGTGCTCTTTAGAAACAAGCAGGATGGTCGATTCCTGGAAAGCTTCTCCTGTGGCTGGAGAGCGTGGAGAAAAGGATGATAACAGAACAAAGGAGAGGGAGGGAGTGTGTGAGTTAAGCTGATTGGGTCGGGGAATTTTCAGGGGTTTTTTTTGAATTTATGGTAATGTTATTAAAAACTCCTCGAGGACTGGGACTAGAACAGAGCTCTCCAACCTTCACTCGGTTGTCAGCAGTCAGCAACGCGTGGGAAATGTTTCTTACTGTTTCCTCTGCCTGTCTTGGTGCGTCTCGTGGCCATGGCCTTAACTTTCCCTTTCCCACTTCTGCTGGCCACCAGCCATGCTGGAGCGTTTCACAGGCGGCGAGTTCCCACAAGCCACTGTGGGGTGTAAAGCTTGTAACGGGAAGCATCTGCTATTCAAGCCACCCTTCCTTTTGTCTGTTACGCTGCTAATTCTTCTTGCCGTGTAAACTCCCGTGAAATGACAGCATGACTCTTGTCTCTGTTACCAGATCAGAAATCAAACGCGTAACAGATCAAAACGCGGGGGCCTGTCAGTGCAGCTTTGAAGAGCTTTTGTACCCGTGTGCTGTGCTGTCACCTTTCACCTGCTCCCAGGGAAATGATTTGGGGTCTTGCTGTCTGTGTACTTGTGTGAGGGTTGTTTAAAAGCTACAGGCTGGGTCGCTCACCCCTGCTTAGGGTCCCATTGTGCTGCCAGGGTGGCACAAAGGAAACCGTGACCTGCCCTTACAGGGGACAGACTGCCTGTACTGCCAGCAGGAGTAAATCTTCCACTTGGGAAGAATCAGTCGTGCACGCTGGCTGCCCAGGGTTGCCTGCTGCTATCTTTCTTCTCCCCTTTTCTGTATCCATCTGTTACCTCATGCATTTCACTTAAACTGCAGGTCTTTTGGATCACTGGCCATCTTCTTTGTGACTGTCTAGCACCTGGCAGGTTGGCACACCAGGGACTTTGTAGTTCACGGGACGGAGAAGCAGCCAAGGCATGGCTTTCTGATTCATCCCCTTTCTCCTGTCTTGCAGGCAATGAAGTTGCTTCGAAAGAGCATCATGAGCTGAAGCCATACATCCATCACCTGCATGTCATCGACAACCAGCAGGCTCTGTTTGAGCTTTCTCACAGGATAGAGCCGCGAGTTTGAGCGTACACAGCTTCATATAACCTTGTAACTGCAGCACTTTGAATTAAGTGAATGTTTATGCCAAGCATGTTGCTTCCCTACATAAGAACAGTTTACTGAGTTTTATCAGTAGCTCACACAACATGCACAGGAAAATCAGGCAAGAGCCAGCAAAGGAGCTGCTCACAGAGTTGCAGAGCAAGCTTGGTGCCATCCCCGCTGGTCTCCGGGACAGGAGGGAGCAGAGCAGCGTCCTTTGAGCTCAGGAGCTTGGTTTCTGTGAAAATATTGTTTGGTCCAGTGTAGCTTTCAATGCAGATTCTGCCAGTATTAGTATGAAAGGAAATGTCATGTCACAGCAGCAAAACATTTCAGCAAGCAATGTGCCGCAAGGGGATTGATTCTCAGTTCATCACGGGGCGTACCTCACTGATTCAAGGCTACCCAAGTATTGTTGCCAAAAAGACTGCATAATCCATGCAGCTCCCATGAGTCCACTGGAGCATCTTATTTGAGATAAGTGCGGACAACCAGGAACGGGAATATAAAAAGACAGCGCACCAGATGAAACTCAAGAGTGCGTCGCGATTTGGAGGTTAGCAGTAAACAGTTCATGCTGTTATGGCCCCTTAAGAATCTGCTTTATAAAACACACTGTAAGAGCCAATCCACTTTTGTTACCATTTATGGACACAATTGTACGCTGAAAACATGTGATTTTCTTCCTTCTCAGTTATCTCAGATTTAACACCAGTTCCTGCAGTTAACGTGTTATAAATTATTATAGCAGGAGCTTTGTTTTCTGCTTGGATTACAGCCTCCTTGGTGTCTATTCAGAGGCAGTGCCTAGATCCGCCTAACATTCCTGACTCACATCCTGGAAATACTGTCTCAGTAGGTAAAACTTCATGTGACATGCACACGCTTCTAGTTTGTAAAGAACAAAAGGGTACACCTTACAGGGTACCAGTGCAATTACCTGCATGCACACCGGGCTCTTGGCATCAGGCTCCTGTTACGTCTTCTGTCCCTCTCACATCCTTCCCCATGCCAATTCTCATAGCTAAAAGTACTACTTCTGGGCATGTACCGAGGCAGCATTTCTAAAGTCTTGTCTACAGCTGACCTACATCCAAGCACCACCATCACCATAGCTCTGGTTTTCAGCGCTAAGAAGTTGCCCTGAAACAATCTATCGAATGCCACAGGCAAGGTGCGGTGTGCTACGCAGTCTGGCACGTGTTGTACACTGACTCGCGGTAACGGTCCCTTTGCAGAGCAGGGAGGACATCGCATTGCTTTCCCATCTCTAGTGTATGTTTTTCACATGAGGAAGACTTCCAAGAAAATGCCCCTTTACTGAAATGTGGGAATACTGACGTAGCATGCTCTTCATCATTGTGTTATCTCTGGTTTAAAGGGATTAAATAAAAGCAGCTTTAACAAGTAGTCTGTGGGGGAATCTGTAGAATGCATTTGGTTTTCCCATCTGTGAAATATTGTATAAATCTATTGTAAAGGAAACAGATGTTTCAGAAATGTATTTGCTTGTACTTTGTTATTATCAAATACTATATGATTTTTTCTTCTTTTTTTCCTTTTTTTTTTAGAAAAAAAATCTTTTTACCCGGTAAAAAGAAAAAAAAATAAACTCTTGCTGGCCATGGAGTGAAAATTTCCTATGTTCTTCTATAGATGTGACTGCACATACTGTAAATAACTCTTTGTGCAAACAGACCAAAACTGTTCCAATGCAGATACTGGCTGCGGTGGGCTCCTTTTTGCGGCGTAAGAACACAAACCAGTTAGAATTTGCTTGTGTTACTGCAGTTCTTCCACTGGCTACAGCACTCTGAATCCCCACCCTAGACGCATTACCTGGGTGGTTTGCTGGTTTTTGAGCTCCCCCTTGTGAACTCTTTTTACTGTGATGTTATTTTTAGGAGCCTCTATGTAGACCAGCCTGCACGCTTTAGCTAACCTGGTGTAACACCCTAATCCACAAGTAGTTCTCTTGGAATCTGTGGAGAAGGGAGCATGGGAAGGTATTCAGTGTGAGAAAGTGTTTCTCAGCTCACTGCATTTGGCTCTGGTTTGGTAGTTAACTGCTGGTGAAGCAGCAGCAGTGCCAGAGAAAAATAAGAAGACAAGGAAATGAAAGAAGGGGGGGAAAGGAAATAAAAAAGAAAACAGAAGTAGAAAGATGACTCTATGCTCAGGCTTTGATTTGAAAGCATGCTAGAGCCACCTTGAAGGCTCCTCACTGCCGTTTCACACTGGTTGAAGTGGTTGGTTAACTTGTACCGTGATGCTTCAAACCAGCTGAGGTATCTGCACCGCTCTAACTTGATACTAAATCGTGTTGTCTAGCCCTTGTAATTGACATAAACTCAAGTTTGGAGGCACGTAGCCGGCATTAACCACATTATTTGTGTTGTGGCTAATTAGACTACTGTTTAAAACTTTACAAACTTGTTTTCATAGTGGCCTGTATAATTAGGATATAACTTTCTGGTCTGAGGGGCTAACTTGGCCTCAATTTCACATTGAAAATACGGATATTATAATTGGTACCATAAAAGAAAGGCAAATAGTCCAAATCTATAGCTAATATGTCTAATAAAAAAAGGCCTATCTCAGTTTTCATTCAGGAGGTGAAGCATTGCAGAGCTGGGCTGCAGACTGGCAAGCAGTGTGAAGGTGTGGTGGTTAGGATAACTAGAAATAAACCCTGTGAAAGAGAGGGGAACACTACACAGCCTTTGCCAGGGTCCAGAACTGGTGATATTGTGTGATTTTTAAATCCTTCAATAGTGCAATTATGTTACATAGGATAAAATCCATGAATCTTGTAAGTTGAGTTTGTCACAGTCACACCTAGGGTGAAATACTCTGTATTTTCCTTGGTACCCAGGAGTAATTAGACAAAGGAAGAAGCTGGGTCACCTAATACCTCTTTGATGCAGAATTTTGTTGCATCAAATTTAGATGCTTCTATGACACATCTTTTTGATTTCAGCCCCATCTCAGATAGAAATAAATTGCATTTTCACGACAGTGGCAAAAAAAAAAAAAGAGAATGTTACCAGAAATAATAAGATTTGCTGCTGTAAAATTACAAAGAAAGATGTAAATACTAAACATTTTAGCAGAGTAATATTTATTTGCATAGATATTTATTGTCATCTTACTAAAAATTACTATGTCACTGTTAAGAAATACTGGAATGAAGTCAATGAGCTGAGGTAAGAACACCTGCTTGTTCCATTCTCTCTGAGTGCCATAATGCTGTCAGCTTGCATTAAAAGTAATAAAACAGAAAACCCCAAATCAAGGTATTTACCTGACTTCTCAGGGACTACAGCTAGTAGTTATCTACCGTTATGAGACCTGGTATGTATGAAATAATCTGATTTACCAGAATCAATGTTGCCAATGTTTCCCTTTTCATAATTCATGCTTGTCTGCCTCTGTACATACTATTGTGTTGTGTATTTATGGGAGCTAGTAAGCAATAATTTATATGTCAAAATGGCCAAGCAATACAAGGTTAAAACTTGTAGAAGCAACTGTTACATTTATCTTGCATTTTCCAGTGTTTTTTAATATTGCTTTTCAAAATATAAAAACTACCTTAATGAAGCCTGGGCTCTGTGCCTTCATGTCTGTCACACATACTTGCTGTTCCTCATTGGAATATTTTACATTCGTCTGTCCACTCATTCGGTTCTGCAGCCCCTCGGTGTGTTTGCAAGGTGGATGCAGACCAGTGTGCGCCTAGTTGGAGGCTCAGGGGCCTGACCCCATTCAGAGCTGCTCGTTCATATCTGGTCCGTCGGATTTGCTGGTACCAATGTATTCCAGGCAGTTTCAGACACAGAGATGATGTTAATGGGGGTCTCAGCTGTGCCTTATCATCACGGTGCAGTCTGAGAAGGGCCTAGAGCCGCCCTGAGAAGTCCCTGTGGGGAGAGGGGAGGAGTAAATCTATCTTCATGTTCTCTGGAGCCTGCTTATCGGCACTTGATCCTCTTACTGAGGACAGCCAGTGTTTTCCCCTTTCCTCAGGCATCCCTGCCAGTGTGGATTCTCTTCCTGCTCCCAGCTGGTCTGCAGCGGGGAAGGCAGACCCATGATGGGCTGCCAGTGAGTGCGCTGTAATGCAGCTGAGGCTTGTCCTGTCCTTCCACCCTTTCCTCTTGCAAAACCTTGTGTTCCTCTTGGGAACCACTACGCCAAACTCAATGATTTCAGATGGTAATAGCACTTGGTGTTTCTGGCATGATGTCGGTTCAAAGTGCTTTGCAAACAGTAAATCCTCTCAGTGTCTGCACCTTGTATAGTCTTGAGCCTGGCCTACCAAGTGTTTGTGCCAGTGTTTATATATGGGTAGGGTGAATTGTAACTAGAATAATTAGAACAGTACAAGCCCAAATTATTGACACAGCTCTATAATGATGTTTAAAGATACTTTATAGCCAGGCATCCTTTTCCAGATCCAGCTGTGCAAACTGGAGAATTTACATTCCCAGCTGTTCATCACTGTCCCTTCATTGGAGGTTATTGCTCCCCACAGCATAGCCCAGAAGGAGACCTGGGGAGTATCTCCTAACCTGTTGCAGTTAGTCAGCTGAATTACTCCAAGCCATGTGTGGCTGCTTGCAAACAGCTGACTTTGCCCTTAAGGGCCCTCCTTCCATCCATCGTCAGCCTTGCTGGGAGGTTGTCACAGGAAGCTGGAGTGACGACACCTTTAAGGTGACGTGCAAAAAGGCAGGTGTAGGGCGGAGGACAGCTGCCTTGCAGGATCTACCTGTGCTACAGGAGCCTGCAAGAAGAGACTGCTGCACTCAGCTGCTGATCTCCAGGTGTCCTTTCAGACTGTCTTGCTGAACTATCCAGATGAGGGATCTGCTGTTCCTGTTAACCAAAGAGAGCTTTGATGGCAGAGACCTGCAATTTCATAGAATCATAGAGTGGTTTGGGTTGGAAGGGACCTTAAAGACCATCTAGTTCCAACCCCCCTGCCATGGGCAGGGACACCTTGCACTAAGTCAGGTTGCTCAAAGCCTCATCCCATTTAAGCTGCTCAGTGCACTCCCTGCATGTTCACTGGAGTTAAAAGGGTTGAGAGGCACCTGGGATGAGCCACTTCTGTAGGAGCTGTTGAACAGGTGAGGGGCAGCAGGTGAGGGCAGTTTGTTCTGGGGCCAGCACAGCCCTCTGTGCAGCATGGGACTGACCTGTGTGGGGACACCTGCTCTACCCTATGTAGAGGTGATTCCCTCTCCTTGATGGAAAAAAATCCACTCAGCCTGAAAGACAGACCTGAATATTTGCTGTGTTTCACATCTCAGTGGGCTTTCATGCCACACTGAGCATCTGCCCTGGAGTCCTGGTCTCTCCTGCCATGGGGGTAGCAGCTGAGTAACACACACACAGCAACACCCTCAGAAGGTAAGTGTGGTGGGTTGATGCTGGCTGGACACCAAGTGCCCACCAAGCTGCTCTATCATTTCCCTTCTCTATCACTCCCCTTCTCAACAGGACAGGGTAAGGAAGAAAATAAGATGGAAAAAAACCCCCTCATGAGTCAGCAGGTGATGTCCAGCCACTTCCCAGGAAACAGGGCTTCAGTGCGTATAGCAGTTGTTCCAGAAGACCAGTTGTCATAGTAATGAATACTCCCCCAAA